CGATCTATAAAGCACAGGCAGATTCTTTGATGCTTCCCATTACCCAATGTATATTTGCAATATGATCCAAAGTGACTTCTGTTTTCCTGAATTCAGCTGGGACATCCCAGATTTTTATTTTCTGTGTGTGGTAAAAGTATTTTTTGAGGAATTTTGAGCAATATTTTGCTTGTATGGGAAATGAATGCAATAGCCCTGTGGTTACGGCAATCCCCAATGTCTCCTTTCTTGGGGATTGGAATGTATATTGTTTCCAATACATTGTGTTTTATTTGTTTACCATATTTGTTAACAGAGTTTAGTGATTAATAATAATAATAATAATAATAATAATAATAATAATAATCAACTTTATTTATACCCCGCCACCACCATATGGACTCAGGGTGGCTCACAAAGCACACAATGGTGCCATACAACATAAAATACAATATATCAACATAAAACCCAATATCACATTCAACTAGAGTAGATTTTGTCTTGGTAGATTTAAGCAGCTCTGTTCTTGGTTTAAATTCCCCTTTGAGTTCTCATATCTTGCGGAAAGATCTCTTGTTCTTCCTTTTTGTTGTCACCTTCTGTTTCTCTTCATTCATTACATGAGTCCTCCTTAATCCTCTGTAGAAATCATTAATCAGTTACATTCAGGATTCTGTTTCTGTCACTTTTCACTTTTGTTTTTTGCCTGCCCCTATAGCTATTAGAAGAGTTCCAGCTGCCATTTATTGAGGCTTCTTGTTCTGTTTGGTTTTAGATTGTGTCTTTTCTAAATTCTTCCTTGACAATGTCCCTGGCTTCAGTCCAGAATTGTTCTGGCTCATGGGTAATTATGCTTAAAAATAAGCAGTCCTTGAGTTACAAACATCCGATTTACATGCAACTAGTTCCAAGCGGGGGTGAGAGAATCTACTCCTCGGAAGGGAAATTAACTCCTGCAAAAGTTAGCATTGGGAAAAGGTGTCTCCACTGAAGCTTTATCACCGATCCTTGTTTCCACAACAAGCCACATTTTTCAAAATCAAGTTATCACAGAGACTGAAAGTGAGGTGAAATCTTCTGAACATGAAGTACAGAAAGCAACACAAACACCACAGGGCGTTAACCATTCTTATGCTATCCAAACCTTTTTTAAAAAAAAACTTGGCTGGAGGTACACTTAAAAATGTACCTGTTCCAAATTACATACAAATTCAGCTTAAGAACAACATACATCTTGTTTGTAACCCAGAGATTGCCTGTAGTGCAAATTTATTTTTTCAAATATTTAAATTGCACGGGGATGTTCTTCAGATTGTACTTTGACATGATTTATCAACTTGTACCAGCAATGCAAATAACCACATAGAATGAAGGGGGTGGGGGGTTGGAACAAGACATGCTGGTGTACTACACACTGGTTCAGGGAAAACAGCATTTTAACAGCTTAGCAGAGGGGCAGAACAAGAGATTAGAGTGATATTATGACAGTGCTTATTGTAAACTGCTGCATGGATTGTAGAAAAACCTGTTGTTGTTTTTTGAGCTTCTCCTTCTGGTTTTTGACAATCTTCCTATGCACCCGTTCAGTTAGTTAATTCCAAAAAAGGAACTGGAGTGCTGGGGGAAGCTGCTGTCCTTTCGAAATGAGGAAGAAACGGATGCTACTGCATAAAGCAGAGTTTTAAAAACTGATTGGTTTTAATTATCAACATAGGTTTCCAAGTGAATACCTTTCTATCGAAATGTTGTATAACCTTCTTTGAGTCTCACTTTGGGATAAAGATGGAAAAAGCAGAGGTTAAAATTACTGTGGGTCATCTAGTCTTCTGAAATCTCAAGTGTCTTACCACAACCACTTTTTGTTTTGGGATCTCAATTTCAATGCTTGGTGGAGACATATTATTTTCCTGTATTTGCTTTGAGGTACAATACTTTTGTAATTAAGAAAGCAACTTTGGATCAAAATGATTTGCTGAGAATAGTAGAAGGTATTGTGAACTTATAAATACCAGTTCACTTTGCATGGCTTTTACCAAAGATTTCTGGGGTTTTAATTGGAACCCCCATTGTCCACTTTTTAACAGAGTAAAATAAGTTTGTATATGCTCTATATACGAAGGAAATAAAGGGGTGAAAATTTCATACTAGAATAATGTACAAGCACAATGAGTAAGCATTCGCACAGTTAAAACTCGTGCGCCAACTGCGCCCGTACCTTGGGAAGTCTGACTTGGCCACGGTAGTCCACGCTCTGATTACATCCCGTCTTGACTACTGCAACGCTCTCTACGTGGGGTTGCCTTTGAAGACGGCTCGGAAGCTCCAACTAGTCCAACGCTCGGCAGCCATGGTACTAACAGGAGCGGGGCGCAGGGAGCATACAACTCCTCTGCTCCACCAGCTCCACTGGCGGCCGATTTGCTACCGGGCTCAATTCAAAGTGCTGGCGTTGGCCTTTAAAGCCCTAAACGGTTCTGGCCCAACTTATCTATCCGAACGTATCTCAGCCTATCAGCCCACCAGGACCCTAAGATCTTCTGGAGAGTCCCTGCTCTCTATCCCGCCGGCTTCACAAGTGCGGCTGGCGGGGACGAGAGACAGGGCCTTTTCTGTGGTGGCCCCTCGGCTATGGAACGCCCTTCCCATGGAGGTAAGATCAGCCCCCTCGCTGATGGTGTTCCGAAGAAGATTAAAAATCTGGATGTTCGAACAGGCATTTGGTTAATCGGTGCAATGAATGTGATGATTACAGGAATTGTAATAGACGACGAAACTGGATCACGATTTTAGTCAGGAGATGCATTGGATTGTTATTGATGTGCGAATATTGTGTATCATGCTTTTATGGTTTTAAATTGTATACTGTTGATTGTTGTATTTTGTTGTAAACCGTGTTGAGTCGCCAGCTAGGCTGAGAAACAGCGGTATACAAGTACAGTAAATAAATAAATAAATAAATAAGCTTCCTTGATGTCTATTGAGATACGATTTTGGGGAAAAAAACACATTAACTTTGACAACTTTTGTCTAGTAAAAGGAATGTTAGAATTGTACTTCTGGCATTTTCACATGAGCTGGTTTTGTAATAGTATCTTTCTTTTCCATGTGTTCTCTGCCCACAGTCATGGTTGATGTTTTCACACCCTTCACTGGCATCTATTTCTGTGCCTTTTCCTTTCACACTTGGTGCCTTGACAGGTTTTGTTCTATTCCTTCACCTCCGCTTCTGCTCACTCCATCTACTAAATCTGCCCACCAGCATCTCTTGCAGTGGTGGCCATGAGTAATGGGCCTTCCTCTTGTGATGCCATTAGCATACCGATAATATGAAATGCTAAAACTCAGGACAACTTTTGCCAGTGGTTTCATGTGGTACGTGTTAAATAGCTTGAAGAACAAACTAAAATCTTAGGGACCCACAATCCACTGGCCAAGAAGCTGAAAATGGGTTCTCCATCAGCAATTTCTGGGCTCATGAATTCTGAAACAAATGAAACCACTATAAAACAGTGCCACAAACCCTCTCCCAGCAAAGCAGCCTAGAAGCAGTAATCAAGGAGGGCTTTTTAAACAGTCGTCTTCTAAATGCCTTCTTTAGTCATGTCAGAACCTTGTCTCACTGGAAAGGGGCATTAGTCACTCCCTTTGCCCCTCCCAGCCAGTTCTTCCTCGCCTTTTTGATATGCCAGGGAAAAAAAACAAAAATGCAGTACCCGTATAGTGCACCTCACCTTTCAAAAATCCTACCCACATCCTGATACTGTTAAAGTTGAAACCCATCCCTTAAGATTGACCAAGCCAAAATTGAATCTACTAACTCTGCATTCACTACAGGACCCAAGTCAGAATGGATCTAAGGAAGTGGTTCTCAGCCTGTGGGTTCCCAGATGTTTTGGCCTTCAACTCCTAGAAATCCTAACAGCTGGAAAACTGGCTGGGATTTCTGGGAGTTGTAGACCAAAATACTTGGGAACCCACAGGCTGACAACCACTGATCTAAGAGATTTTCTCTGCAATGTTTTCATCTGTGTTGGATCCTTCTATGCATGCATCAATTTAGGTTTACCAATACTGAACTGCATTTGCTACTTATGTTGACTAATACTTATGTTGACTCCAGCCACATGTAAAAAAAAAACAGTCCCAATATGCTTGTGGAACTCTATACTACATTTTAAGGATTCTCCATTTATACCTAATTATTTAACCCATTACAGCCCTGTTTTAAACCATTCGTTATCCAATCAGTAACTGCACACTGACATGCTGCTACTCCTATTTCCAGTGTCTTGATATTGATTCTTTCAATGGAGAATCCAAGTATATTGAGTGAATACTGTGTTAAGTAAGACGCAAGAAATTGGGTGTATTGTTCCTGAGAATTAGTGCTCCTTACAGCACAAATATGCAGTCTGCAACCCAAAGGTCACATGTGACTTTTATTTTTGTGCAGCTTCTTAGGCCTGGAATGCTTCATTCCCTACAATTACCTCCCTTGATCATCAATTTGCTTAGCAGAAGGGAATACATCAGGAAACAGATTGAAGGAACAGGAATTCTTTTAATTAGGTTCATTAGATCACACAGTCCCAGAGCAAAAGAAAGAGAATACTTTAGGCCCACATTACAAAAGCTCATTGACCACTGATTCATTTCTACTTAAAGAGCTTTGAATACCATGGGATCACTCTGGAAGACTCCCTTTAGGCCTTCAGTGCAATTCTATGGTAAACTTCTGTCAGAAGTTCTGCCAGAAGTTAGCCATAGGTTGACCTCTCTAGGCATTTTCTAGGTCTTCCAGAGAGATTCTATGGTTTACTTTGGCCAGAAATGCAATAAGTTCATGTCAAATGAGAAAAATAGGGCTCCAGCTTACGGGAAAACATGTTTTATGGAAAGGGTGAATAAAGTCAAAGCTATTCTAGAACATATCTTCATCAAGATTTTATTACATGTCTGGACACCAGAAGACAAACTATTTCAGAAATGTGGTTGTCACAGTCTTTGTGTCCAAGGTATTATCAGGATCGAAGCATCAGTACCTTGCTTGTTTTTTTCATTGTTTTGGGATGCCATGGAGTGGTGTCCAGCCTTTTCTCTATGGAGTGCAGCCGTGCCGTGGTCTCTGTCAACATGTCCATCAGCAGCTCGAGCTGCAGCTTCAAGTAATTGTTCTCTTCCAATAGGGCTTTATTGGCTTTCTTTAGGGCTTTGTTAGGTGATTCCTTATCAGGAGGAGGGTATAACTGTAGCAAGGGCATCTTTGGTGGGCCATTCTCACTCTGCCACTCGCCATCTTGGAAAACAAATTTTGTTTTGCATAGTTCAGTACTCGGAGGGCCATAGTCCATTCCAAGTTCAGCTTGCCGGGTCTTGTAGTCCAACAGATAGAACGTGGACAAAGAGGATGCTTGGCGAAGGACTGGTCTTCTGGGCCAAAATCTACGAGAGAAATGATCAGCCCAGTAATCACGCACATCTTGCAGAATCTGATAAATGGTTTCCATGACAAGGAGCACTATGGATGGAGGGTACCAAAAAGAAACCTACAAAAGAACGTTCTGAAATAAAAAGTCAACATGTGCAAGATTACAGCATGAGCTCAGAAGAATGATGGCACTAAGTTGAAAAAGAAATCACCAATAATTAAAAAATATTCTATATACTGTAATTGAGAATGGAACTAAATCTCATATAGAAATACCTTTCAAAATAATTATATTGGTGGAAAGCACACTCTTGTCTTACATTTTCTTGTTATGGTCCTTTTATTTGATTATATAGGTAAAGGAAACATGCAATTATTTAAGAGTAAATCGGGCTGAAAACATAATGATATAATGAGAATTATAACTGGAGCATGTACACACATACATGCAATATAAATGGTTTACAAAAGTTTACAAAATCGATTTACAACATTTTAAATAATATACCGTAGTATCTGTTAAAATAATGGTTGTTAACACAATCACCCTATAAAATGTGAGACAAATTGATCAGTCAAGCTTAATCTATCTATAACACTAAAACAAGTTCAAACATTCATCAAATGCCAAATACTAATTAAAAACAGTACAGCATACTATTAAAATAGTTATTTCAAAACAAATAAATAGACTGTCCACAACAGCTTGTGTCTATGAAAATAAAATACCAGCTCCTAGAATAATAGTAAGATATTTGCTCTTCCTTCCCTGTGTTTGCTCTATATTCGCTACCCTCAAGCTATAATTTGTTTTATAGCTTGAGAGCAGCCATTGAAAAGCTCTTTCTCTTGGGTTACTGCCAGATGTTCCAAGATGGTGGGGCCTGGGTGGCACTTAGGCAATTCCTCGTTGTCCGAGTAGGATAGTCTTCCAGGATCAGCCTGGATGGCACATATGGGAGATGGTGATAATCCAGATGTAAACTCTATAGGGCTTTCTAGGACAAAACATGTCCGGAAACAGACTAGTAGACAGTGGAGCTTCTTTTTTCCAGGCCAATAGTCACACTGTAGCTCTTTAGGATTGCTAAGGTTTCCAAACATTTTTCAACAGCATCTTTGCTTATAGGAACCTACAGTCATCTAAACAGAATATAATGTATGTGTCAGCATGGTCAGATCTGAGATTTCCAGGAGAAAGCACAACTAGTACACTAGTCTTACTATTTATTTATTTGCAACATGTATATGCTGCCCTTCTCACCCCAAAGGGGACTCAGAGCTTAATCATGTAAATGCTTGTTTAATCACCACAAAAATCTTCAGGGCTGAATCCAAAAGTATATAAAAAATGCAAACTCAACTCTTCAGGCAGAGTGCAACCACATCCAACATGGGCTGAATCCCTAGACCCTGAAGTACCTTTCAACTGACAAGAAACAGAGCTGTCTTGTCTGAGTTAACATTCAGCTTGTTTGCCTTTACCCAGCCCATAAAATCTAGACAAGCTAAACATACCTAGCTCCCCTATGAATCAGGACCATGCCCTTTAACAGGAAGAAGTAATGAAATTGCAACTTATGCCCAACGTCTTTCAGCTTCCTCATAGTCCCGTGCAATATGTTGAAAGCTATATCTTCATAGCGAAGAGTAGAAACATCACACTGACAACACAGATCCGCATAGTTAAAGCAATGGTATTCACCATAGTCACCTACAGATCCAAGCAGTCCATACTTCAGGAAATAAAACCCGACTGCTCATTGGAGGGAAGGATAGTAGAGACAAAGATGAAGTATTTTGGCCACATAATGAGAAGACAGGAAATCTTGGAGAAGGCAGCAATGCTGGGGAACATGGAAGAAAAAAGGAAGAGGGGCCCACCAACGGCAAGATGGATGGATGGCATCCTTGAAGTGACGGGCTTGACCTTGAAGGAGCTGAGGGTGGTGACGACCGACAGGGAGCTCTGGTGTGGGCTGGTCTATGAGGTCACGAAGAGTCAGAAACGACTGAACAAATGAACAACAACAACAACATCTTCATTTGTTCCCATTGAATCAGAAACTAGGGGCAATGGTTGGTGCACTTGATGAGTCTTGTCAGCATCTGTTTCCTCGTGGATCTTCACCCCTGGGAGATAGCACATTTCTCAAAGCTGTTCATGCCATCGCTTCTCTTCCTATCATTACAGAATCACCTATCGTCTTTGCTTCTTCTGGGAATAAGCAGGAGTTGTTCCATTCTTCAATGTTATCCTCCATCTGAGGGCTAAAGTTATTGTCCCTGTTCCTGTACCTCATAATTGCTGACTAAGGGGAGAATCTGGAAAACATTATGTAGCTCCAAAACTGCAGCATGGTTCCTGATCTTTCAGCTTCCGAGTATCACATTTTTCCAAGTGCCTGCCTCATGGATTTGGAAAATGTCATCCTCTTTAGAGGCATCCCGTGTCTTAACCTTCCAAGAGAGACTGCACCGCTCTTTAAAAAAAAAATCATCTTCCCTGATACGTTGAAATGTGCATATGTGGACCATTGCTGCACTTTCTCTTCCAGCACAGCAACCAGCTTGCTGCAGGCATAGCATAGACATGCACCACAAATCTCTGGTAAGAAATTGAACATGGCACAGCTGTTGCAGATGATTGCAACAGTTCCATGTTAATAGTCCCATATAAGAACTGATGCTGCATTCCAGACTTCCCTTGTTTTAATTTTCTTGTTCATTAAATTTCAGAGATAGAGGCAACCCTTATGTAAAACTAGCAACTGTTTGCTCCGCCTCCAGTCAAATTGGTGACTCACTCAGCAGAAGCCCTGTTTCTTAAGACCATCTACTCAGCAAAAGCACATTGCATAGAACACTGGAAACAGCTCAGTCAAACAGCCTTGACTCCAGAACAGTTTCTTCTGATTTAGATCGAACAGAGAGACAGAATAGGGTAGCATCAGAAAATGGCCAGTACTAAACTTCAACCTTTGGCCAAACTTTCCCAATAAATGATAGATCTACTGAACAACATGGGTGAAAAAATTGATCCTTGAGTAATTCCACAAGCCGTCAGTCAAGATATCGAATAAAAATACCCCAGTGCCACTTTTTGAGCATGTCCCTCTAGGACAGTGGTTCTTAACCTGTGGATCCCCAGATGTTTTGGCCTTCAACTCCCAGAAATCCTAACAGCTGGAAAACTGGCTGGGATTTCTGGGAGTTGTAGGCCAAAACACCTGGGGACCCACAGGTTGAGAACTATTGCTCTAGGAAAGAAAGGAACCATTGCATCCAGATCTTATCCCATTTAAGTAAGAAAGATGACCACTTGTGTCAAAAGTTGCCAAAATGTCAAATAAAATCCAAAAGGGACACAGTGTACCTGTTGTTCATATAAACCACCCCCAAAGCAACAAAAATTGCCCATCTCCGATAGCCAGACTGAAATAGAATAATTAGTTAGTAAGTCTCATCCAGAAGTTAGTAAGTCTTATATTGGAACTGGGATGCCAGCACACACTTCAGTACTTTCTCCAAAGATAGAATATTGGAAAGTGCCTGAAAAATGTAGAGTATAATTTTGTTCAAAACACGTTTTTCATGCTTAGAAACTGTCCAATTCCTCTACTTGGTCGATTTCTCACCCCAAGACCTTTTTATCAGTCAGGAAGAGAAGGATCTAACACATAGCTATGGGTTTTGAAACTCCAGAGATCTTGCACTCTAGAGATCCTGCCCACATCCAAGGCAGAACTAAGCTAAAAGCATATGTAACTATTGGAAAACGATAACCAAAGCTACAGCAACTGGACATGTATTATGTGGCGTCCAAGTCAACTTGCATCTGAGTGATTTTATCTGCCAAGTGCCACTGTGCAGCCTGAACTTTGGACAGCCACAACATTTCTGATCTTATCTACTAGAATCCTTCTTAGAGGTTTGATGAGCAGTGGCCTTTGGGACAGATTCTGCACGGAATAAGGACAAGTGTTTGATTTCAATGGCTGAAGAGAAGATATGAGTCCCTCTTCCCTTTCTGTGGCATTCCATGGAACCCAGTGGGCTAACACGAGAAGTTGGTTATACAAAGTTCAGCTGCAGGATGAATAAAAAGGATTAAGGTGAATGTGGGGAAAATGCTATTCTGACAATGCATAAGAAAGATAATTGCACGTTCCACGCATAGGATTAAATGATTGGATCTTAATTTGATAAGGACATCTTGTGTAATAATTTGGAAAATCTGGCTAACGTGATATACCTATTAAGGAGTATTCCAACAAAGCTTATGCAGGCATATCACCAATCAGCTACCAAACACCAATTTATATGCACACATTTTTTTCCAGTTCTTAAAATTCTCGGCTCACCAGATTATAGTTTGTTGTAACTGCTTCAGTTCTAGCTTCAGTTGAAACCTCTGGTATAAACTTGTTCAGAACTGGAAAGAAACTGTTGCCTTTGGGTACACACATAAACCCTCTCAAATTATGCCTGACATCATGTTGATTGATTCATGTCACCATGTCCCTTGCAATGTGTCACAATTGCCCCTCTTATGTTAGCCAATCATAATTTTTGTGTGCCATAAATGCTCAAATTAACATATAGTTGTTTTATGGTTGTCAGCAGACAGCTCAATGTTTAACCTATCTGGTAAATGAATTTGCTACATACCAGTATTGTACAAGTACTTATAACGTATGCCTCTCATAAGTACAGAGATAATCTGCATACCAGCTAATTAATTATTTGTTAATATGTCATTTTCAAGTTAGGGAAATTGGAACTGAGATATTCTGTTGGATCCAAATGTAAGTACAACTAGTTTCTCCTCTAGTCAACATTAGATAGGTCAACCATTGTGGCTGGGATTTTAGGAACTGCAACCCCACAAATGTGAAAAGCACCAAACTGGAGAAAGGTGTTTTTGATCCTCCATATGACAGATATAGTTGCAGCAACAAGCTGAATTTCTCTGATTTGATCTACATGGAACAATCTATAGTTAACATGCAGAATCTCCAGAGCTGATTATACATTTTCTTGTATATATTGTCCATGGTGTTTCCAGTTAAGCATACA